CATCCTTACTCGTGCAAATACTTTTCTAGGCGTCGTTTAAATCGTTATATTTTTCTGCACAGGTTTGGTAAAGAATACATTCGGAAATTACCGCTAGAGAAGATTTGCCCATTTTTAAGGGACCCGCACAATGATTGTGAACAAATGCGATTGCCGTGCATCGCAGAAATGGGAGCAAAGCTGATTTCTTTAAAATTGTCTTTCAACCCATAGCTGAAAGTAGAACGCCAGAATGCGGGGTGAGGTGTGTCGAGAGACCAATGGTTGGAAGACGAGAAAACAAAACACTTACACTTGTATCGATCGAGATTTCAGGACTGCAGGAAGTCGCCCTCTGAAGTTTCGAGGAAGATGAAGGGGGCGAGTGGTACGCAGAAGAATTGCCATGCTGACCTGTAAATGAATGGTGCACACTGAAATCACAACGAAGAGCAACTCGTAGGAAACAAATGTCCGACAGACAGGGAGGCAAATAAGGATAAGAGATGAAGAAGAGGGTGAAAAGAATGAGGACGGAGCGAATGAATGTGCAACAAAAGAAGAAAATACTATAGGGCGAAGAGAAATGGCGGAAGAGATTATTATAGCAAAAGAGTGAAAGAAAACAAGATAAACAAGATGAAGCAGAGCGAGACACCGATCAAGTACAGACGAGAATGAAGAGTTTCAGGAAATGGAGGAAAGGGGAGAGGAGGAGTGAGGGGGCTGGTAAAAGAGGACGAAAGTAATGACAAAGGGGAAGATAGAATGAAAACAACTACAGGAATCGGACAGAAGGGGCGCAAGAGAAGGGAAGGTTCGCAAGCTCCGCAACGCATAAATGTTGCCTGCCAACAGGAAGCGAAGAGCTGATTACCCAAAACCGAATAGAGAAGGGCATGATTTTTGATTCACTACAAACAGGGAGGGATGAAATTTAAAATGGTAAATCAAGATAGGCATTAATAAGTTACTTATAGTGTGGAATGCTAAAGCACATCTTGGCGAGAGAGGTAGAGAAGGGAAAGCC